CAAGTTTTCCTCGACCTCTTGCCTCGCCGCCTGATCGAAGAGTTCAGACCACCGCGAAGGCTCAAAAGGCTGAGGAAGCTGTGAAAATTTCTTATACCCGGGGGTGTAATTCAGTAGGATGTGGGCAGCCCGGCCGAACCCGTTGTCACCAGTAAATCTCCAAATCGTGACTAGGTCGGCAAAGTTCACCAGCAACCGAGAGGGAGGAGCTGTTTCCTGAGCAGGGATATCTGCACAAACAAAAAAGTAGTCATGAACATGGGAAATCTGGAGAACAAAATAATAAATCCGAAGGAACCGACGTACTTGTCGTTCTCCATTCCAGAGGGCATAACAAGCCGTTATACTCGGGACCAACACCTCTCTGCCAAGATCCCTTGAAAATAAGAATATCGTCCTTGTACCCCTTGTCCGAGTCGGGAAGATGAGTTACAAGGTACATGGAGGGGTCCCTGGCTTTAAGGTAGAAGTGTTGGTGAGGCATGACTCTCAAGAGGGAATAACAAAAAAGGAGATCGTTCAGCCCAATATTTACCCCGAGGCGCCTATTGAGCTCTAAGACCCCCATAATTATTCTGAAGACATTAAGGCAACACTGCCCGGGGAAGAGGCGGAAGTGAGAGAGGAACTGGAGAAGTAAAGGGGGTAAAGGAAACCTAATTCCGCCATCTATTATGGCCTTAGTATAAAAGGGCATAGCATCCTCGGCCCCGAGGGTAGGAATGTGCACCACCGAGTCATAATCCTCTATGTCTACGCACGGGGGAATGCCGTACTTGACCTTAAACCTATTAATCTGCTCACCACCCTTTACTTTATACTTCCCCGACCCCGAAGAACCAGCCTGAGGATTCTCGGGAGCAGGGCGACGACGAGGCATCTCTAAGAAAGTGAGAAAGTGGAGGGTGTTTTTTCTTAAAAATCCCTGAGGAAGCTTCCCGAGGATTAGTCACTAAGTATCAATCGGAGACACCTCCAGTCATCGGAAAACAAAAAGGGATAGGAGGAAGAGAAGAGGAAAGATACTAGGACTAACCCGAATGTCAAACGGAGTTTTTTCTGGAAAACTTTAGGCGACTCCTTCCAAAAAGTTCAGAAGCAACGATGGGTCTGCTGACCTTAAGACTTTAAGGAAAAATGGGCAGTTGACGATGGGGGAAGAAAGAGATCTCCGGCGAAGATTCAGGAAAAGGCTCTCTTGAGGAAGTTCGGAATAGCGAAACAAGAAAATAGAAGAGGAACCCCATTTATATAGTGGCAGTTTCATCATTGGGCACGAAAAACGAAAAGGCGCATTTAATGCACACGACATCCTAAGCAGGGGAAAGCGGCTCGAGGCAATGATGAAGCATTTTTGGTTGTTAGGAAACCCTTCGTCTCCTTACGACGCATGCCCTCGGTGTCAGAAGATCGAAGGCTGGGGGGCAGTTGATGGGACTTTTCTGAAATACTCCATGATGAAAACACGTGTCCTTGGCATTTATCAAAACACTGTCGCTAAGATCAAGCACCATCGGCTCACAAAGGTCCCTCGCTCCCGAGGTACTCGTCATATGGGATCATGGCATTCAGTACGTTTTACAACCGACACGTAGCCTCGGTCTGATATTGTACCTCGGTCAGTATACCTCCCTCGGTTCCGAGATGAGCCTTTCCTCAGTGCCGAGAGGTACCCCGTCCTGGACGCCTCCTCTGCTCCAAGATAAGCTATTGACGTGTAGGTCATTAGCCTAGGCTAGTCTAGGCTATTCATCATAACCTCGTTTTACACAATTAGTGTCAGAACGTACAGGAATGCAGGGGCTACAGCCAATGGGGGATGGACGCGTGGCATATGATGTCACATCAAAGACAGAAAAACCGCATGTCGTTGCTGACACGCGACTTGAGAAAACAAACGATTAATTACACCATTCCCTTGACGAGACTGCATTCAATGCGGTAAGGCTCAGAAATGAAAGGCAATAAATGTTTCTAATACAGAGCATTTATTGCATCCTCCCCGAGAGGAGTACATTGTACCGTCGGCATCCCGATGACGCAGCATTGATTGATCGGGACCCCGAGCAGTTAAGAAGAGAAGACATTCCTCATCAGAATCAATGCACACACTGCCTGTACCTAATGATCACCTACTGACTACACTGACAGCAATCATGAGTTTTTGAGGTATAAATACTCCTTGCAAAAGGCAAGACGGGACGCAACAAAAAACTCTTTACTACAATACACACTCAGTGTTTTCTTCTTCCTCTCTCTCTCTCAAAGACTGACTAGATCGTCGGAGGGGATACGCCGGAAAACATTTCGGCGCCCTTCTAACTTGTTCTTCTTTGTTCCAGGAACCTTTCTTCAGCCTTACTGGATCGTTCTTCCACTCCCCCAGGGTCTCCCGTTGCCGTTCCAGGTTACCACCGGACCTCGCAGGCTGTTCCAAGCAGCGTGGTTGGTCACTCAACTGACTCACTCGAATTCACCAAGGGAGAGATCTGTTCTCGTTTTTATATTGTGCAGGATCGTGCACGCACAACACGGGGGAACTTATAAAAGAAATATGCTCCTTGTCAAAGGTAAATATACAATCTCATATTTAGAAAAATAACAATAGAATAAGACTTAGATGCTTAATCAAAAGGCATAGAATTGTACAAATGCATAAACAGTCATGGGCTTATGAAATAATGTGTCAGTATGGTGCAGTGCAAGTGAGATGCAATGGGTGTGCTTGTGTGCGCAAGAAATGAGATTAGCCACTTAAAGAATTTTCGTATAGCATATGCAGTGGGTGTACAACACTTGAGTTAAGAGTAACAATATAATTATGTTAAAAATGACAAACGAATACAAAAGAATATAAAACAAATGGAATCAAATATTGCAAAATAGGCAGTGTGAACTATCACTGTTGCATATATAATTTCGATTCAGTAAAGACCTGCATAAGGTACTCAGTTCACGTATTCCCCTAGATATCCAATGTATGTGTCCCTCCTCTAATCCATTAAATGATTTAAATAATAAATTTGGCTCAAGGAGATATATAAAATCCACTTTACAACAATGGTCAACATAGAGTGTATTCCATTTCCATTAAACCAATAACACAAAGCAAGCCATTTTTAGCTAAATAGTCAATGAAACAAAGTCAGCTCTAATAAGATAAAAAAAAGGCAATACACGAAATCAATTTTTTGATCTGACAAAAGGAAAGCAACTTGAGAAAGCCCTTTAAGCAGTGATCGCAATGCACTTGAGCTAAGAGTAACAAGATAATTATGTTAAAAGTGACAAATGAATACAAAAGAATATCAACATAGTTTCAGGTTCTTCTCTTTGGCGTTATGTCAATCACCTAGTATGCATAATCGGGTGGTCCCAATGAAGCCCGCATCGTATTATACAGTTGAAACTGAAGAGACAGAGGAATACACAAACAAACAGAAACCCATCCCAAAATATATGTACCTGGACAACAAATTTACAACGGAGATGCGGTTGAGATTGCCAGCGGACCAATGGAGAGTGATGGGTGCCGGTGGGCATTGACCAGAAAGCGAGAAGCAAAATTGCAGCCAATGCCCAGAATTTGTATCGGCCTCTGCCGAATAGGTTCGAATTTGAGCTTTCCTTCTTCGAAATTGTTGATGTGGTATGCGATATTGGCCTTCCTTCATTAATTTCGACGGTTCCAACCGAGAAACTCTTCCTGACTTCTGATATTGCTTTGGCGATCCACTAACGACTCACCATTATCGTTCATGTGAAAAATTTTGGGGATGAGATAGAGAAGATTTGAGATGAATTCCATGCGACAGAGGCGTGATAGATAGGGAAAGAGAGGCGTGAGAGAGAGAGACAGAAGTGAGAGGGAGAGGGAGAGGGAGAGGCGTGAGACAGAGGATTGTGTCTCAAGAGGACTGTGTCTCAAAATGATTTGTACTTTTATTTGTCTTTTGGATTCAAACTTCGTTCTACTTTATTATATAAATTACTTTAATTAAAGTAAAAATTAGATTATTGTGATGAAGAAAGCACATCACATAACAATTAAAAAGTTAATTTAGTGTGTCGCTGCAGTTGACGTCGAGTTGACATAAGAATGTGAAAAAATGAAAGAATTTTGGTAATTAAAGTGTGTGTAGAGATAAAATTGAAATATAATAAAATTAAGACTTAATTAAAATAAAATATTAAAAATAAAACTTCATTGATATAAAACAAAAATATTTTAATAGATGTTTATGAGAAAAAAGTAATACTTATTTATAATTTTTCTTTTATTCTATTAAAGTTCACTATTTGTAAAATATTTGGACAATGAAGTAGAAGTTTCAGTTCTATTATAGTTTACGCATTTTAGGGGAAATGAAAAATAGTCCTATCCATAAGCGGTACTAGACCTGAGTCAGACAGAGTCGGAGCCAAGGCCCAGTAGCGAGATCCCACGGTAATCTCCTGTCTTCTTTTTCTCTATCCAATTCGTAGTTGCAGAGCTAGAACAACTTCATTGATCTCATGAACCCTCAAAAGAACCATTATATCGATTGTGACTCATAATTCTCCTTACTCAGCACTCGAGCAATTCTTTGCAGAACCAATTTGTATTGTTCTTGAAGAGAGTAACAAAGCCAATTGTATGGAGATTCGACCATCCATACAGCAATGACTATAAGGAAAAATAGATCATCCAGTGAAACTTTGGAGATTACCTCTTCCCTAGAGATAAAGAACAAGGCCACGAGGAAGGAAGTGTTCCCAGTAAATTAATTGGAACTGATCTGTTTAGATGGGACAATGATACAATAATAAGAACCAACAAATACAACAAAAGGAAAAAGCACTCAAGAAACTGGGTACAATTTTTCTGCATTAAAAATCCCTTTGTTCAGATCACTTTGCAGATTAAGTACCATCTATTAAAATAAAGTCCTACCACTTTTTACACTGCTAATAAGGTTATTTCATCTTCTTTTGTGGTTTTACATAAACCCCCAAATACTTCATGAGATGGAATGTCTTCTATTTCTTGAAGATAAACTGGAGGACTTGGTCTCCCCTTGAATCATTGAAGTTGGGCTTTGGGAACTACCAGATGTCTCAGAGCTCCTATTCTCCCCATTTCCTTGCCCTTTACCCACAACCCACAGCTTGTCAAAAATTCGCCTTGACCGAGATGGAAGTAGCTGCGCACCGTTTACTCTGTTTTTGCTACCATTCTTAATCAACTTCCCGGTTTTCTGAATGTCCTCGTCTTTGATCTTCATCTGACTCAACTGTTTCTTGAGGTATTGACAGTCATCGGCCATGGTCTTTTCAAAGTTTTGTTCAATGTCAGTTGTGGAACGTGATGTGCCATTGTTAAGTGCTTGAACCCCGGCAGCTGCTCTGACCTGCTCAAAGAAGAGGACTTGTACCACAACACGGAGTGGAAGGCACTCGTTTTGTGCTGCATGCATTGATGCATCCATTGTCAATTTCTTGACATCCATGAGTGTGCATAACTTCTTCCTTTCAGCTTTTGTCAAGCTCGGGTGCTCCTACACAGATAATAACCTACTAATAGTATGAAGAACAATGATTTCCACATTCAAAAGGTAGCATCCAGTGCAAAAAACTTTCAACTGAACACAGTTCAATCTACTAGGCAAGGTTTTATGGGTATGAATATGCTTAATGCACCAGGGATCCATAAAACTATAAAGAAACTAGTTATGGTTGGATTCCAGGTGTCCAGAAACATGTTATATGAATCACAAAATGGCTACTAACAAGATCAGAAAATGGCAGCCTGACAGAAGGTACAATATATGTGAAACACAACTAATGCAAAAAGATTAATGAATGTTGAAAAAATAAGAAGTTTATATGGCACATAAGGCCTACCTTCAGATATATATCAATGGCCTTATATATTCCATCATGAATTGGTCTCGCTGATTCAGCAATTAACAGTGACAAGTCAATAAAACTGGTGGTAGCAAGATTCGGATCACCAGCAATTTCAGCTAGATATGCATCAATCAATTTTCCAACATTCAGCAAAGAACCATGCCCCAAGACAAAATCACTGGAACCCTTATCATTCTTTTGAACAATGTCCATATCCCGGCTGCACTTTTCATGCATCAGAAATCGCTTTACGAGGCACCGCACAAGTTCAACATCATAAACAGTATTTTGAGGAGACCGTGCTGGGATCAATAGATCCTTAACAGAAGCCTCATCCAACTTCAAACTGATACTCTCTATCAAATCCTCCATTGATGAATCATTGGCTCCAACCAGAAGGGCAACTTTCAATAATTTCAGCAGGAAACTACAGGAACAACCAAGACTCCTGTCCGAAGGCAATAAACAAATTATTGTTTCTACCAAAGATTTGTTCCTCCTGCTATGAACTTCAGATGCCAAAGCATCCACAGAATCCGGTAACCATCTTAAAGCATAAGTCTTTAGTGCCTCACCAATCACATTCCCATCCATTCTTCCCTTTGATTTGACAGCAATCATAACTCGCTTGTAGAGATCAATATCCAGTTCACACACGTCTTCAACCCACCAATCCTTTGGAACATAATCTTTCTCCTGAAGTCTCACCACACATTCAATAATTTTATCAGGGGCAGCTAATTTCCGGTTATAAGTGTAGGACCAGTTGATATTTGAGGGGTCCACTGAGGTTTTAGATGCAATGGAATCTATGCATCGTCCAACCACCTTCAGATCTTCAGACCATGGTAAAAGAGATTTGGTGGTTTGCAGAACAATAATAGAATCTTTCCAGCTGCAGAAAACACCGGAGTTGAAATATACCTCAATTTTAAAAATTAGGTTTCCTCGCTCAACAACCTCAGTCATCTCAAGGTACTCTGCTGCACAACGGGTTGCCACAACATTGTAAGGATTGAGAGTGACTGTCATTCCATAGCAGAATTTGGCACAGATTGCGAAGGCTTTTTGTCCACCGGGAAAATCAAACAAATTAATTTCATCAGGATTCTCCTCATTGGCCATTAATACTAGTTTTTGCAAGCGATTGCTCTTTGACAAGAGAGGAAACTGCAAGGATACATACAACCAAAATGTTAATCAACCAGAATAGAGCAACCAGCAATGATCAAAACATAGCAAAATTTATTTGGCTTTTTTTTATTTGGTTGGCCAAACATGGCACCATCTGGACCATTACCAATTACTGCAGCACCTTTCCTCCAGCTGTGCACAGTACACCAATTGTTAATGACATTATTTTGAGCCAGAATAAATTTTATGCCGGCTGCTAGTATTAAATTAAGTATGCATCAATAAAAAAATATAGAATGAATTCTCTCATCCTTCTCATTAACCTCTGTCATACATTTCTAAAACTAATTACACTAATAAGGAATCCTCTGGATTGCGGAAACATGAGTAGCAGAAAACAATTTGGCCACATGGATGGCACATTCATTAATGCTTCAATTTTTTTAAGGGGTGTCAATTTTCCACACAACACACTAAAAGGCACAACCCCTAAAATGAAACGACCAATTAACTAGAATAATGATTTTGTCAAGTCAATGTCAAATATAAATATTCAGATTTTGACACAATAACCCCATTTAAATGACATTCTAAGAAGAAATGTCTTCTTTTTTTTTCAATTTCTTGGCCTATTATTGTTGTAGAATTACATGATATTTGATAGGATTTTGACAGTATGCAGATCAAGTAGATTGTAAATTTGGCTAAAAGAAAATGAGTTCCTAGTACTGTGGTTTCTGATTCATGGGTTACATGAAAAATGACAAACCTAAAAATGACACCAACCCAAAATGATAAGACCTAAACATTAACACAACACGATCAATAGCACAAGGATCAAAATATTGTTACGTTTCACAAAAACAATAAAAATGTTTTGTTATTCTGGAACTCAAAAAGAATGGGAAATAGAAAATCAAAATTTATATGTTTGACGAGTGCAAAGTATTTTGACTATTGTTCCGGCTGATGCTTTCAACTTAAAATTCCATATTTTCCCTCTATTATCATTGGGTATTAGAAATGCTGCGGAAATGTTTCCATTTCTAAGGTAACCAAAACTATGCACCCCATGGAATTTGATTTTTAAGATATCCCTAGATGGTAATAACTAGTAAATGCTTTGATAACTGGAATTTGATTTGCAGCACAAAATTTCTTTTTTCTGAAATATTTAGCTGTTACATCAATAATACAACTTCATTTCCTATTAATAAGGGGGAAGGGGGTCACTACGATTGATGTGAGTCTAGTGCGAACAAAGCAGATACTTGGCTCACACTAAAAACTGCCCTATCCTTGAGTTCCTCGAGGCCTCAAAACTAATTAGGCATGTTCACAGCAAATTCATCCCGATTCTTGGTGGGTTTCAGGAAATGTTTACAACTGTCAACCTGTGGAATACAGATACACGTTCCACCATTTTCCAAATGTAAGGAAGTTTAAAAGCAATTTAGTCCTAGGAGATTTGACCATACTCATGTAAAAGAACATACAAAATGACTAAATTAACAGCTTCTAGCTCTGTTGTAGTTTTAGTCACCAAGATCTGTGAAACTCCAGAATTACTCATGTTCGAATGTGGGATGAGATATCAAAATAAATTTAATCATTTACATCAGTTTAACATAATACCCAAAAAAAAACAGCTCAACTAAATTCATATACAACAGCAGTTCAACAAATTACCTTGTGAAGGAAAAACTTAACTTCACCAACATTTATGATAACATCTGTTGCCAGTTCTGATGATACATACCTGCATGAATAATTTATAAATATAAGCCCATATAAAGTGGGATAACTCAAAATTTGACATCTAAGTACGTGATTAGAGCAACAAATAATGTCATAACAGAAAACTTTAGTCCGTATCATAAAACCAGAAGCAAATGATGAAGAAATGTGGTCAGTTAGTAGCATGATACTAAACAGGTAACATATGTAGAGAACCATATAAACATTAGTCACACATGAAAATGCATTCAGCAAAATGAGCTAGAGGATTTGGCAACATTTTCCATGACCAGGAACCTGTAAATTCCCTGGCAAATGTCTACAGCTAATGATCAGCAAGAATAGACTATCATTCGCTGCTTTGCCTATGCAAACAACCTAACTTGACTAGAATCAACAACCTATATTAGTTCGGAGTACTGAACAAGTGAGTCCTTGGACCATTATTTTCTTGAAACACATTTAACTGTTTCAAACATGCAGTCATAGAAACATCCAAGTTCTTCGTCAATTACAAATAGACCCTGACACTAGTAAGATGATATTAAACCAGGGATTTCATATCTGTTATTTACAAACCAGAGAAATTCAATATAACGTAGATATTTGAAATTTTCTTGACAACATACATGACATTTGGTGCCTATGGTAGACAAATACCTAAGAATGTCTAGCTTAATGGGCATAAAAAAAAAATACGCTTCCCATCCAATGATTAGTTTAATAGATATTAAATCTGCTGCAAGACTATAGTAGACAAACACCTAAGAATGTGTACAGAGGAGGAACCATAAATTTGCCAGGGGTGGAACCAAAAATTTGCCATAGTGGGGGAAAAACTTTCAACAACAATAATACTGTATGTATTTAATTCAATGACCTAAGTTAGAGACATAATACATTGCTACTGTTGGATTAGTAAATATGTGTATTCAATGCTGAGACCACACTGATGAAAATACATTGTATTCTCAAATTAGGTCCCGAAATTATATTTCAATAGCATTTCATTTATAATAATAGTAAGGTTTAAAAAAATGAATTAATAATAAATAAAAAGGGGTGGAACCATAAATTTGCAATAGTGGGGGAAAAACTTTCAACAACAATAATACTGTATGTATTTAATTCAGTGGCCTAAGTTAGAGACCTAATGTTGGATTAGTAAATATGTGTATTCAATGCAGAGACCCACACTGATGAAAATACATTGGATTCTAAAATTAGGTCCCAAAATTATATCTCAATAGCATTTCATTTATAATAATAGTAAGGTTTAAAAAAATGAACTAATAATAAACAAAAAGAGGTGGCAGTGTGTGCGGGCTCCTACTACTGCAAGGTCTCAGAGGGACAAATACAAGCAACCTTACCGCATGTGAGAGGATGGTTCCGTAACTTGGATTCTTCAAATGTATGTCATAGCTCATAATGGAGCAACCTCACATTTGCAATTGTTACAAACTAATTTGCATATTATAAAAATATTACATGCTAATCTTATCATTTAATATTCCAAAATTAACAACGGTGAGAGAGAGGGGGCAAGATATAGAAGAGAGAACAAGACTTTCACAATGATTCTTGAATACATGTTGAGGGATTCAAATAACTAAACATTATTTAAGTTCACTTAATTGAGAGAAAAGAAATTTGAACTAAATATAAGAAATGATTAAGTAAATTAAAATAAAAAATTGCAACAAAAAATTGAGTGGATGCAGTTGCCCCTACAAGGGGCTGTGTAGCTCCACCCCTGAATGTGTGGAAGCACACAAATGTGGGTCAAATGATACATGATATCGGCATTAAACAATGGGATTGCAGAGAATCAAATGTGTATATTGGTGCATATGCCTCCCACGTGAATAATGTTGAACATGTAGTCAACAAGCACAAGCTAAAGGTAGATTGGCACATGTTCCAACCCAATGAAATAATCTATATGGACAATCAGATTACAGAGTGCAAAAAAAGACAACTCTGGTCATGCCAACAATGTTATTGTGTGCTGGTGTCCAATGTTACAGAACAATCATCCATGGGATACAGCAATTAACAACCAACAAGTCAACTGCATATTCGTTCTGTTAGCATGAAGGCTATGAAGCAACCCTGATAGAACAGGTGCTCTTTGCAGACCCATGGATGGTAATACACCTCATCAAAACCAACAAGCTGTTAGATGCAATCACCAAACCTTGACAAGCCCGGAACTCCAGTCAATAAATGAACGGAGGGATGAACTAGATTTGAATACAAGAGCAGTGAAACCTCCTGCCATAAGGAAGGGGAGATCCGTAGTAAGAGCTCCCTCTCCCCCTGCTTTCAGCACCTTGCTAGTCTATCAGGGAAACTCTATTAAATGGCCTCAGATCACATCTCAAACGGCTAAGAGGACCCACCTATTGATGATTTAATTATAGAAATGTTCATATAGATTAATGCACTAAACTTCTAAACACTTTAACTACACATTTTTACCTTAATGGGGCCTAGGGGACTTGCATAAACACCAGAAAATGCCAAGTACTGATCCATGTAGAGGTTTTGTTACCAAAGCATGAATAAATGGAAAAAGCTCAGCAACACAAACTAAATAATGATCATCGAATCTCCTAAACGGCTTGAGATCACCACTCAAATGGCTTTGGAGGACCCACATATTGATGATCAATTTCAGAAACATCCTCACAGGGCAAATATTTTTGCACTCAAAGTTAAACCACATTTGGTTAACACACTTTAAGAAAACATTCTTACCTTATTGGGGCTTAAGGGACATAGATAAACAACATAAATTGGTTCATGTAGATGTTTTAATTTGTACCTTGCCAACAACATGAATAAATGGAAAAAGCTCAGCGATACAAACTAGTTAATGACTCTAACAAAGTAATGCACCAGTTAATCCGCATTGTATGACTTAAGATGCTAGTTTTCTTTTCCTTTTCTTTTTTCTCTTTTTTTTTCTGTAATCTATAAGAATTACTTAAGAAGCTACATTACTTCAAAAGCTTCATAACGAAGACACCCAACCCAAAAGCACAACACTGGTGGTCATTGACAGGGTTCTATCTGAGCCTGTAGCAAAACTGAAATGGATACTGGGTGCATTGAATTGATCCCCCAACAAATATTAAGAGCATTTTCATGTAAGTGGATATAATTGATTCATATAATTACATCAAATCAGCATCCACACTAAATGTGCAATACCACCTCAATCAGGGATACATATAAATGTTTAGAAAACTCTGGATATGAAACAATACAGCTCATGCAATGAGAAATACTTCAATTTGAAAATTTGAATTCCTAGACACTATATGATAATGGCTAATCTAGCTGACATCATTAACTTCCTCTCTGACAAAGAGGGAGTTAAGGCTGACATTATTTCCGGAAGGTAAGGCTGACATTATTTATCTGATGCAAAAACCATTAAAAGGACTTTTCATAACATAGGATACAAGGGGGGGACCAGGCCAGGAAAATTTCCATAACTGCAAGAGGCAGGGGGCAGGGGTGAAACTGCATGAAACAGATGATTGCAACCTCATTTCTTTTAATTAGCAAAACAAAGTAGGAATATTCCTTCATTTCCTTGTCAAACTGGCTTGGATCGATACAAATTTTTAAGAACTTTTTATACTGATTCGCACAGCTGGCTCCATCAAGATAAGGACATTGAAAATAGCCTTCCAATGTCAACCTGGAAAAATCAAAGTAACCACCACTGATGGCATTCTCTAATTGATGAATAAACCAACACAAACAATCCAATTGTCTCAGCCAATCTTCTCATTGTGCAGCCCAAATAGCATAAATATGAAATGGATGAGCCAACACAAAGCAGCAACTATATCAAGCAGGTAATCATCAAATCCATATGTCGTACAAGCTTCTTCTTTTGTGTATAAACCTTAAAAAGTTAGATAGAAAAATTCACAAATCTTACTGTGAACATTAATCCCATTAGCCCTTGTTTACATATGCAAGACTTAAAGTATAGGTGAGGGGATGAATATATTATATTGTAGGAGTAAAAATAATGCTATGAATTCGTAGTAAATGCCTTTCCCATCATATCCGTCCTATATGACTTTATAACAATTGGACCACCAACTCATCAAAATCAGGACAGTTCAACACCTGGACCACCTCCTGAGTAGTACCGTGCCACAAACCTCAAAAATAAACAATATAAATTAGATAATAATAGACAAAAATGAGTTATAGTATAGCGCATGATCGAAGTGAAGAATGATTGTGACATCAGCCTTAATTAAGTTTGGTTTATTTAGTTAACCAATTTTAACCATTGAAAGGTGGACTAAACAAAATATTTTCAGCTCTTCGGATTTAAACCCAAAGTAATACTTTTTATTGATAGGAAACAATTATTAATAAAAATTGTAAATTACATCAAGAAATGTTGGACAAAAAATCCAACCAATAAGTAGAAAATAACAAAGAAAAGAAGAGCTAGAAAATCCAGAGTAATATACATACAAACACATTCGCATACAGTTTTATATGAGAGGTACCAATAGAAACATAGTACCTTAACACAATGTGATAAGTACAGAACAAAATGGAACACAAAAGCAAAGAAGTGCAGAGAGAGAGGAAGAATTTGTGTGAATTGCAAAACAAGAAGAAAATGAAAACCGACTCACTTGATGAAGTTGCCTTCAGCTTGAAATGCATCAGGCTTCGACCCCAGCTTCATAAACTTCATTTTCTTCGAGAAATACCCAATCCACTCGCACACAAATTGAACCTTCAATTTCACCAAGAAACCTCTTCACTAATCCTCAAACAACACCAATATCAGTACTCCAAAATCCACAAACCACACCCAATGTTAGACAGTAAGATATAGCCATCTGAGAAAGCAAGAAACTATGGTTCATGGGTACTTCCACTCTCCCCCTCAATTTCATTCCAAATATACACAAAAACAACCCAAGACTCTCACTCTAAACCCCAGTGTACACAACCACAAAGGAAAGACAAACATGAAGAATCCAAGAAGCAAATTATAACCCCTATCTCTAGTCCCCCACGAGCAGAATCACAACCAAATCACCTCGACTCACGAGCCCAATTCAGTTCCCCATTGAGGCCCCTTATCATCACATTCATGATGCCATTACACCCCTCAATATTATTCACCAACCAAAAACTAATAAAGAAATAGAGGCAAACCCCACAAACACACACTCACCCCTCTCTCTCTCCCTCAGAAGAGTCTTAATTTCTAGCCGCCTTCGCCTTAAATCCTTCGGATTCTCAAAGATCTCTTCAGGGTCACGAAATTCGAGATCTCTCTCTATACCTGTACTTTTGTTTGTCTCTCTCTCTATATGTATGTATTGAGAAGAACAATGATCACTGGCTACACTGAGGAAGTTGTCGCACTATGCCTGAACTTTGCAGCGAAAGAGAAGAGAGAGAGAGAGAGAGAGAGAGAGTGTGACGAGAGAGCACACTGTAGGGTACTTTGTATGGTGTGTGAATAGGAACTAGAAGGAGGACTGTTAATTTTGGACAGAGTGGTTCAGAGAGGCTTTTTAAGGAGCTTTATGCCGTTCAAGCACGCGAACCTTTAAAAGACGGGTTTGCCCTCTCTGATTCTCTAGATTTACAGTGATTATACTCGTGTGAAAGTAGGTTACCAACACGAGGCAGTTTAGCAGCGCGTGAATTGGGTTCTTCAAGTAAACATTTAATCCAAGAATTAATGTTCCGTTAAATTATAAGATACTTTATTTTAAAAAAAAAAAATTGATTACAATTATTTTAAATCTATCTTTATATCTCCTATTATTTATTTATTTTTGGCTTAGCAGTCGGGATGTCCGTACCTATGCAAACCCTCATTAACCTTCTCTTTGAAGAGAATGAGGGTTTGCATAGGTACGGACATCCCGACTGCTAAGCCAAAAATAAATAAATAATAGGAGATGTCAATATTTCAGTTCAAAATGACTAAGTTTATAATTTATTTTTGTTATCACTTAAATGACATCTTTCATTATTATTAAATTAATATGTATCAAATATTTTCTTCTTTATGATACATAAGTACCCTATTGATTATTTTTTTATTAAAGGATGATACTATATATATAGTAACGTAATACAATTAAAGGAGAATGATTCGAAACAAGTGGCATCATTCACTAACCCAAAACCAGAGTTAATGACACTCACTTTTTTTTATGACCAACAAACACAATGAAGCAAAAGCTTTGGGTTCAAGCTATAGTTGTAGCGCGTACATAACCCCTTGATGAAAAATAAAATAGGGCAGTTTTCAAGCTCTTTATATTGTTAAACTGAAATCTTGGATTGTTTGGCATAACAGTAATATGGTACATAAAATATTTCGTACGTCACCTTATAGGTGATAAAAAAAAATAATAATAAGCTTGCAAAGTGTTAAGGGTAAAAATCGCACGTTCGGATCACATCCCTGAACACCAAGGATTCTGACTGGCCTGCACCCTTTCCTAAGGCAATACAGTAGTCTTTACCTCTCAGTGCCCGTGTAGAGCTTCGTCCCACATCGACTGAGAGTCGTCTCCCCCACCCCCTTATAAGTCTGAGCCCCTTAGGGATGGGTACCTACTAGGCACCTGATAAGGGAGTGGGGGAAACGACTTTCAGTCGATGTGGGACGAAGCTCTACACGGGCACTGAGAGGTAAAGGCTACTGTATTGTCTTAGGAAATGGTGCAGGTCAGCCAGAATCCTTAGTGTTCAGAGAAGAGATCCGAACGCGCAATTTCTACCCCTAACACAAATAAATAAGTATCTTTGTGAAGTAAAAACGAACAAGTTCTCAAGTTTTAATGCTCTGTTCGATAAAAAAGATAAAAAATAGGATAGTAGGAAGAATGAAAAGTACGCGAGATACACTTTCTATCATTTAAATAAGGAAAATAGGAATAATACACTTTTTTTCCTTTGTGTTTAGTAGGATAGATGCAAAATAAAAATGATTAATTAAATTTTTTTTGTCCCAGCTAAGATTAGGGGTGACAATCATATCTTGTCAGGTTTGTGTTGAGTTATTATAAGTTTGTGTCTAACATTAGTCAAACCTAATTCAATTCATTTAACTAATTATGTCATATCGAGTTAACTTGTTTATTTTCATGTCGTGTTTGTGTTCGTATTTTTGTTGACCGACATAAACTTTGAATAAAAAATTTAACGCTAATATTTTATTTTCACTTAATTGAACTCATGTTTATATTTTTTCTATAAACTAAAAATTAAGTTTAATAAATATAATTATAATAATAAATAAAATATCTTTTTGATATAATAATTATGGCAATACTTAATAAATAGTTGCAAATAATTAACATTTTATGTTTATAATACTAGTTAAACATGTTAATTTCGTGTTACTATACAAATGAGAAAATAAAGAAAATATTTATTTTTAAATAAACAGGTTGATAATGTCAATTTTGAGTTTGACGAGTTGAACTGAATGAGTCGTTTATATTTTTTTTTTTGCA